TGGAACTGGATGATTTTTAAGGTCCCTTCCAATCCAACCGAGTCTGGTTTTCAATGACTTTATTCTTATTGTCCATACCAGCTTGAGACCCTGTGGGCCATAATTGCAGTCATGGTGCTGTTTTCTGATGGTGTCAACGACATCCAGAGGCTGATGTTGTGTCTGCTTAGACCCTGCTCCACCCTCACTGTTGTGGATGTGACCGAGACACTTTACTGCATGGCCACCCTCCTGTTTGCCATGAGAGACAGGGACATCCCCATCACTAACAGGTGAGGAGAGGGGAGATGCTGCCTGCCTGCTGCTGCTTCTGGGGAGGGTGACATTTCATATCTGTATTTTCAGCCCCTCAGGACAAGAAGGACCTGGAGGGGCTGGAGCGTGTCCAGGGAAGGGCCCCGGAGCTGGGGAAGGGGCTGGAGCAGAAGGAGAAGGGGCTGGAGAACTTGTGAGGAGCAGCTGAGGGAGCTGGGGGTGTTGAGCCTGGAGCAAAGGAGGCTGAGGGGAGACCTTCTGGCTCTGCAGCTGCTGAGAGGAGGTTGGAGCCAGGGGGGGCGGGCTCTGCTCCCCAGGAACAAGGGACAGGACAAGAGGGAACGGCCTCAAGTTGTGCCAGGGGAGGTTGAGGTTGGATCTGGGGAACAATTCCTGCCTGGCAAGGGTTGTCAGGGCCTGGCCCAGGCTGCCCAGGGCAGGGGGGGAGTCCCCATCCCTGGAGGGGTTTCCAAGCCCTGGAGATGGTGCTGAGGGACATGGGGCAGTGGTGGCCTGGGCAGGGCTGGGGGAAGGGTTGAACTGGGTGCCCTTAAAGGTCTTTTCTACAGTAAATAATTCCATGAACTCAGGATGCTTGTTTGGCCTGTCAGTGATTGAGAATTGCTGGCTACACTCATGAACTTGATTAAACACCTGCTGAAGATGTGGCAGACAGAGAGTTTTCTCACTTGTAGTCAAAGTCACCCTCATTCCATCTCCTTGAACAATCTAGACTAGAAGAAATAGGAACAACTATGTTTCTTCTGCCATTATCTCTTCAAACCACTCAACCTTTGTGATTTAGGGCCTAAGGAGGAAATGTCCTCAAGTCACAGTCTGTTTGCAGCTCCTAGGGAGCCTGCAGGTCACCTAATGTGAGACAGAAATCTGCCCTGGAGTGTCACCCAGGGTGACAACTCCTCAGCTAGAAGAACAGAGCTGCACTAAAAGAGAGAAGACCACAGTGGTGTCAGCCTTGATGTGCAATGCAGGTCGATTTTAAACCAGCTAAAAAACTTGTACGAAATCACCACAAGTCACTTGATGGGACTGGTTCAATTTAGAGGCCTAAACTGGGCCCAGATTTCTTCTCAGGCTCCCCCAGAGTTGCTAACAGTGGTTCAGGAAAGCAGAAGGATCCTGTGGACTCTGAGCCCAGGTCATGTCTGCATGACAGGGCTTGGAACACAAACCTGGCAGGAGGGAGGGAGAGGCCACAAGCAGAGCTGTCCCTGAGGTGCCTCCTCAGTCACTTTTCAAGGTAAAACAGGGCTTTGAAATATGACCATTGTCTCCTCCAGCTCCCTGGGCTCTTGGTGGCTCCATGTATCATTCCTTTGGAGGCATTCCAGATGTTGGCAGTCCCTTAGGTGGCTGCAGATGTTGAGTTTGTCACAGGTCATTTCTCACTGATAGCTTCTCTTTTGTCCTTTTCACCAGGATCCATTACAATATTTTCTACTGCTTGTATCTGATGGAAAATGCTTCTGTGACTGTGGAGACAGTAAAGGAGGAGACAGTGGCATCACACTGTGGACAAGACTTATGGTCAAGGTAGTTCTGTTTTAGGTGATCCAAGCAATGCACCCAAGTGCTCAGGGCCCTGGTGGAGTCCTGAGCCTTGGAGGGGGAGCAAATGTTTCATGGCAAGGGCTGGTTGACAAGACTCTGAGATTTATAAGGACTATGAGGAAGGATTGGGTGGGGAGACCCTGGCCCAGATTGCCCAGAGAAGCTGTGGCTGCCCCATCCCTGGCAGTGTTGAAGGGCAGGTTGGATGGGGCTTGGAGCAGCCTGGAATGGTGGGAGGTGTCCCTGCCCATGCAGGGGGGTTGGATCTGGATGGTCTTTAAGGTCCTTTCCAACCCAAACCCTTCTGTGATTCTATGAACACAGGAGGGAATTCAATACCAGCTGCAGGATAGTGATTTAACTCCTGTTTTCTGGATCCTGTTGGATAACTTATATACTATTTATTTTATATATAGCTGTAACAAATCAGCACTGGTTGGTAGGTACACCAGCAAGGGAGGTTGTAACATAGGAATTAAATCATAGGTGAACAGTTGAGCAACCTGGTCTGGTGGGGGGTGTCCCTGCCTGTGCAGGGGGGTTGGGACAGGATCATCTTTAAGGTCCCTTCCAACCCATTCCATGATTATATATTTTGTTCTGGTCCTTCTTGGTTTCCAAACCCTGTCATTCTAGCCCTCCATTTGAAGTCTTTTTCTGAGCAGACTTGGCTTGTTCAGTGAAAAATGTGTCCTGGGGGCAGCCATCCCACTGCCAGCTGAGAAATGTCAAGGGTATTTAAACAAGGCAGGACCCTGTGCAAGGAGGTGGTTCACACTGGTGGCTGATCACAGGCTTCAGACCTTTATGAATAAAACAGTTGCACTCCAGCCAGAAGTGCTGGATGCTTTTCTTAATGTTCATCAAAGCTCTGGACTCCCCTGAGAGGCAGGGATAATTGATCTGCCCTCCATGCTGAGAAGTGGGAGAGCAATTTAAAGATACATCCTCTTGGAAGCCACAAAACATCCCAAACCCAAATGGCTTTTTGTTTTGATTAAGTCCAAGGAGCCAGGGTGCCACATTAATTTTTTAAAGCATGGCAAGAGCCCTTGAGAAGATCTTTTCCTGTGTAACCTTCCCCCAAGGTTTACTTTTTACTTTTGCTATCACCAATCTTTTCTTATTCCTTCTTCTTCTAATTTGCACAATAATCAGGCTGCTCCAGTGCCACATTCCTGTGGGATGGGATAAACCATCCATTTGCTTCCTTCTGGGGATGTCCCATCCCTGGAAGTGTTGAAGGGCAAGTTGGACAGGGCTTTGTGCAACCTGGGCTGGTGGGAGGTGTCCCTGCCCATGCAGGGGGGTTGGAACTAGATGATCTTCTAGGTCCTTTCCAACCTAAACCATTCCATGATTCTATGATTCTGCCACTAGTCAGCTTGTTTCTGTGGGAGGATTTGTTTTCTTGATGACTTTTGCTCTTTTTTTGTTTATTTTTAGTAGCAGGCCTGAAGTAAAGTTGACCCATGAGCAGCAAAGGATTTTGAATCACAAAATTGAGCCTGGTCAAATAGTGAAAATTATGGCATTTGCAGGTAAGAGCCAAACATTCTGTTGTAAGAACAAATGCACAACCTCAAATTCTGCTCCTGCTTTCCCTGCTCCTTCTGTCCAAGGAACTGTGTGGATTCCAGGGGGATCAACCTTCCTGCACAACCTCAAATGCTCCTGCTTTCCCTGCTCCTTCTGTCCAAGGAACTGTGTGGATTCCAGGGGGATCAACCTTCCTGCACAACCTGAAATTCTCCTCCTGCTTTCCCTGCTCCTTCTGTCCAAGGAACTGTGTGGATTCCAGGGGGATCAACCTTAATTGTAATCAAGACCAAAAAATCAGAGCAAGGTTTTGCAGAGGAATGGGGATGGGAAGCATGAGAGGGGGGTTGCTCCCCTACAAGTTGGTTAAGGGTCATATTTGGAGAGGAAATCAAAAGAGTGTTTGGACACTGTTGTGACTGCCCAGAGCACCTTGTCAGGGAACCCAGGAGTGGAAAAGCAACTCTCCATGTCTTGCTTAGTCCTTCTCTGAGCCTGTTTCACAGCATTATTGTCCACAGGCCACTAGACAGAGTCACTGGTCCTTGTTTGGATTTAGCATCCCTGGGGGAGCAACAGGAGCCAGGAAAAGGGGAATTGCATAAAATTGAGGCAGCCAATTTCAGAGGAGATCATCTCCCCTCCACCTGCAGAGAGTTTCCTTTACAGACACCACCCTGGGAGCTCAGGGCTCACGTGGCTCTGCCAGAACAGGCTGGCAGAAGGACACGTGCTCCTCAGCACCACAGCACAGAAGCCATTCATGGTGGTTTCCTTCTGTCTGTACAAAGGTTTGTGTCTCTACAAAGTCTTTCTACTCCAAGCCTGGGGCTGTAAAACTTGAGAGACAAGAGAGCAAGTGAATCACAAAGGGAAACTGAGGCAGGCAGCCTGAGATGGAGTATCCTGCTACAGACACTGTGCCCAAGTGGCAAAGCCAGGAATGTTCATGAGCTTTGACAGGTTCTGTGGGATCACAGCAAGGCAGGGCAGAAGAAGAGCTTGAGAAGTTGCTGGCAAAAAGCATAAAAGAGTGATAATCCTTCTTCAGACATGTGGATGAGGGTGCTTTCCATAGCATATGTTGGTGAACTGCAGGGGAAAGGAGGCCTCAGGGTGGAGAATATGATGGCACAAAAGCTAAAGGTGTCTCTACATCTGAGTTCCTTGGAGAAGGTCTTGGAAAGGATTTCCCTTGGATCATTATGTGTAGGGGGTCTGTTGGAGGGTCAGTCTCATGTTCCCATGGGGAAGCTTGTGGATGAAATATCACTGAGGAATTCTGGTTGGAAAGACCTTTAAGGTCCTTCACTCCAACCATTCCCCCAGCCCTGCCCAGTCCCCACTGCCCATGTCCCTCAGCACCATCTCCAGGGCTTGGAAACCCCTCCAGGGATGGGGACTCCCCCCCTGCCCTGGGCAGCCTGGGCCAGGCCCTGACAACTCTTGCCAGGCAGGAATTGTTCCCCAGATCCAACCTCAACCTCCCCTGGCACAACTTGAGGCCGTTCCCTCTTGTCCTGTCCCTTGTTCCTGGGGAGCAGAGCCTGACCCCCCTGGCTCCAACCTCCTCTCAGCAGCTGCAGAGCCAGAAGGTCTCCCCTCAGCCTCCTTTGCTCCAGGCTCAACACCCCCAGCTCCCTCAGCTGCTCCTCACAAGTTCTCCAGCCCCTTCTCCTTCTGCTCCAGCCCCTTCCCCAGCTCCGGGGCCCTTCCCTGGACACGCTCCAGCCCCTCCAGGTCCTTCTTGTCCTGAGGGGCCCAGCCCTGACCCCAGGGTTCCAGGTGTCCCCTCCCCAGTGCCCAGCACAGGGGGACAATCCCTCCCTGCTCCTGCTGCCCACCCCAGTGCTGACAACGAGCCTCACTTGGCACTGCTGGGTTGACAGTTGGACTCAATGATCTTAAGGGTCTTTTCCAACCAAAATGATTCTATGATCTGTGCTGGGACCTGCTTTGCCCACCATTCACGGGTCATCTGGCCGGAGTGTCAACAGCAAGGTGACAAATCTTGCTGACATTGAGGACCTGAAAAGGGGCAAAGAAGGAAACGTGCAGACTCTTGTCTCACATTCTTGTCATAGTTGCTATTTCAGGTGTGAAGCAGTTTTGCCACGAGGTGTGGACAGGGCTGTCCTGCAGCAAAGTGGAGTGAGGCAGAGCAGCATTAGTGGGAGATCTGACAAGGAAATGAGCTCATAAATCATTCAGAAGAGCAACATTAACATTTCATTTACCAATCTGTCTTTCAAGGGAGCCAGCACCTTCACGTACGCTCAGACTTCTAGAATCCTGGATGAGGAAGTGATACATTTTTTAAAAGCTTTTAGGCTGCAGACTGTAATTATTCAAAGCTCCTTTGCTCCACAGCTGCTCTTTTTCCTTGGGTCAGTGAATAAATCCCCTTTGGCTGCAGATGGTCCTGCTGTGCAGTCAGGATGGCAGGAAGGGGAAGGTGGAGCTGAGGAGAAGTGTGTGGATTCATTCATTCCTGACTCTGGTTGCTTTTTGTTTCCTTTCCTTCTGTTCTTCAGGTACAGGAAAAACCACAACCTTGGTCAAGTATGCAGAGAAGTTTGCTGACCTGAATTTCCTTTACGTGACCTTTAACAAGGCTATTGCAGAGAAGGGGAAAAGTGTCTTCCCTAGAAACGTGACGTGCAAGACTTTCCATTCCCTGGCTTTTGGGAGCGTCGGGAAATAGTGAGTGGGGGGGTTAGATTCATGGAGTCACCTTAGAGTCATGGAAGGGTTTGGGTGGGAAGGGACCTTCAAGATCATCCAGTTCCAATCCCCCTGCATGGGCAGGGATACCTCCCACCATTCCAGGATGCTCCAAGCCCCATCCAACCTGCCCTTCAACACTGCCAGGGATGGGGCAGCCACAGCTTCTCTGGCCAACCTGGGCCAGGGTTTCCCCACCCTCACAGCCCAGAATTTCTCCCTCACATCTCAGCTCCAGCTCCCTCTGCCAGCTGGAAACCCTTCCCCCTGCTCCCATCCCTCCCTGCCCTTGTCCCAAGTCCCTCCCCAGCTTTCCTGGAGCCCCTTCAGGCACTGGAAGCTGCTCTCAGGTCTCCCTGGAGCCTTCTCTTCTCCAGGCTCAACACCCCAACTCTTCCAGCCTGTCTCCAGAGCAGAGCTGCTCCAGCCCTCCCAGCCTCTCTGTGGCGCCCTGCTGGTCACCCTGCTGGTGACAGCCCAGGACACACAGGGGTGGTTTCTGGGCTCCAGCACACGGTGCCAGCTCCTTTGAGCTTCTCCTCACCCAACACCCCCAAGTCCTTCTCCTCAGGGTTTCTCTCCATCCATTCTCCACCCAGCCTGGATCTGTGCCTGGGGTTGCCCCCACCCATGGGCAGGACCTTGCACTTTCTTTTTTCAAGGCAATGGAGCAGGAAAAAGCCAAGGCAGGAGAGGACAGTCTGGGTTTAAAGTAAGCCTCCAGCATTTGAGGAAGGAAAAATGATGGGGGAAATTATTCATTTCACCTGCCTCAAGCCAGGCTGTGATTTGTGGCTTCCAGATTCCTTCAGGTTGGATGTGCCAGTGATTTTAGCATCCATGTGAGCCTGGGGAAGCAGCTTCAATTGCCCTGCTCTGGTGGGGACTGAGGGCTTGCATGATGCTCTCAGGCACATGGTGTGATTCTAGGGGTGCCTTCCCCAGGGACAGGAGTTGGACTGATCATCCTGAGGGGTCCCTTTCCACTCAGTATGTTCTATGATTCTGTGACATAAACCATGTTGCTGTTTTGGGGCTGTTCATCCTACCTGCATTTAGAGCTCAAGAAGCACTTCACAGGGAGATGAAAAACCACTGAAAATGGCTTTTTCCCCATTTCCCATCTACACTTCAGTGGTCCAGCCACTCTAAATGCTGCTCTTCTTTAGCAGAGAAGGGGTTTTCTTAACCTGAGTTGTTTTAATGATGCACTTTCTGGCCAATTACATTGGCACATCCCAAGGGCAGACAGAGGGAAGGAGAAGGGAATCCTCTTAACTTTGCTCTGAAATAATCTGTAATTGCAGGGACAAATGATGGGAATATCTCTCTGGCTCAACTTTGAATTTAGGGAAAAGGTTGTGCTTCCACCAGGGATATAGTGAGGACAAAGGTGGGCAGATCCCACAGATATTCCATTACCAGGTCCAAGTGGGTGTCTAAAACCCAAAGAGAAGCAAAACTGAGCTTGTAGGCTTTTCATGTGTAAACTCAACATGTTTCTTTTCTTCTCTCTCATCTGTGGCACAGCTATAAAGACAAAGGCAAGCTGAACTTCTCCAAGATGTCAGTTCTCTCCATCAGTTTCCTCCTCCAAAACCGTGAGGGACAATCTCTGTACGTCAGAGGGAAAACAGTCTCACAGACCCTGGAAACCTTTTTTGCCTCCTCAGATGAAGAGATCTGTGAAGAGCACACCCCTGTTTGGTTCAAAAACACCCATGGTGAGAGAAGACTTGTCACTGCACAAGAAAAGAAGGTGAGTGTCTGAGATGGAGCAAGACATGGGCTGCAAGGTTTAGAAGGGGGTGTAGTTATCCCACGTTTCTCACAGCTCCTGGATATTTGTCCTTCAGCTGTAAGAACTGACTGTTAAAATAGGTGGGTTTTTGTTTTTCCCTTTGGTGACCAATCCAAAGGAACTGGAACCTGTTTGTTCTCCCTTTTTGCACAGATTTCTGGAGAGATTTTCACTGTCTCTGCTCAGTGCAGAGGAAAAGAGATGAGGCTGCATGTGTTGCCACCAGTGCCTGAGCAGTGTTGTGATAGGACATGTCAAGGCAATAAGCAACTCTGTGGTCATTCTGAGAGCCAAACCCCAAAATTCTCCTTCAGAGTCCAGACATCTTAGCAGCACTTCAAGGGTAGAACTGACATTGCAAACAGGGTGGGCTGGAGTTGTGGAGAACGTCAGCCTGGCTGCTCCACCTTGATCACATCTGATCAGATCCAGTCCACCCAGCAGAAGCCCCATTTGCAGCTGTAATTTCTGGCTGGGAAGAAATGAACAGTCTCAAAAGATAAGGTATCTTTAAGCACCTGGCAAGTTGTCCAGAGAAGGCAAAATAATCAGGTGCAGAAATTAGTGGGGGGTTGTGTTACTCTGTCCTAAGAGCTGAGCCAAGGAAATGTTCTTTTCAGGGAGGTGCATTGGGAAACCTGTGCTGAGGAGAAGCTGTTAACTGGTGGTGACACACAAGTAGGAGGAGAAAGGCTTTAGAGAAGCCTTTCAAGACCTGCTCTGCCTGGACTGTTTCTCTGCTCCAAGGCATCTATCCAAACCCTTTTGTGTTTCATTTCTAGATCAACGTGCAAGAGGCAAAAGATATTTGGCACAACATGAAGAAGCTGGATGGAGATGCAGAGAATAAATACAAGATAACTTGTGATGGTAAGAGAGTGAAGGTGTCAAATGCCTTCAGGTTAAAAAAGCTGTAGTAGAAAATTAAATTGATTCATACTCATTTTTAAGCAACCTGGGCTGGTGGGAGGTGTCCCTGCCCATGCAGGGGGTTGGAACTAGAAGATCTTTAAGGTCCCTTCCAACCCAAACCAGTCTGGGATTCTATGATTATTTCTGGCTGTGCACCAGGAATGATGCACCTTCCAAATATCATCCAAGCAAAGAAGTAGGGCCAGAAACATTTAATTTATTTTTTTTAAAGACATTTGCTTTAGAGATCATGATGTTTTATGATGGGGAAAATGACCCTCTCACTGCCCTGCCTTGTTCTTTCAGGGTATTTGAAGCTCTGGCAGCTCAGCAAGCCTCAGCTCTCAGGCTATGATGTGATTTTTGTGGATGAAGCACAGGACTGCACCCCAGGTGAGTGGTGACAGGAGCCAGAGCTGCAGCTTTCAGTTTGCAGGGAGGTTATTCCTGTGCTCAGGGGTGTCTGAGAAGTAGCACCAATAAAAAATACCTTCTGCCCTCCCCTCCCCAGACATCACCATAAAACTAACCCTTTGCTTGGTCCCAGATCCTTGCAAATTCAGCAAGGCAGCTTCTAAGCAGGCTTCAAGAGGACATGTCCATCAGGTTGAGGGGTTCCTTTCAGATGCTTTGGGCATCCAGACACACCTTCCAGACCCTTGTGCTGTTGCTTTGGGGCCAACAGGGACAAACAAGCCCAGCATGGCCAAGGACATGGTTTATTACACAGACGTGCAAGTGGTTCAGCCACCAGAAGAGCAGAGGTGCCCCATCCCACCCTGGCACTGGCCTTGCTCATTCCTTGCACCATCCCTGGGATTCCTGAGACATGTGGCAGAAATCTGCTGGCTCTTTTGTATTTTGCTGGGAACACGGGGAATGTTTCTGTGTTGCAGTGCAAGGTGGGTTGGTTCTGCACAGGGATCTAAGGGGACTTGACCTGAGTGCTGAGGAGCAGAGGAGGGGGAGGGCAGCAGGAACCCTGTTTTGTGCAACAGATATTAAATCAGCTCAAAGGCTCCATCAGCCCATCTCCCACCTCTTCTTCCTGGACACCTGGTCTTAGAATCATGGGATTTGTTTTGGTGGGAAAACACCTTTAAGGTCTTCAAGTCCAAACATCAACCCAGCCCTGCCAAGGCCACCCCTGCCCCATGTCCCTCAGCACCATCTCCAGGGCTTGGAAACCCCTCCAGGGATGGGGACTCCCCTCCTGCCCTGGGCAGCCTGGGCCAGGCCCTGACAACCCTTGTCAGGAAGGAATTGTTCCCCAGATCCAACCTCAACCTCCCCTGGCACAACTTGAGGCCGTTCCCTCTTGTCCTGTCCCTTGTTCCTGGGGAGCAGAGCCCGACCCCC